GGGGGGGAACAGCAGGGGTGGGCGTTCAGCTGCAGCCTCCCCCCTGGCTATGCCACATTAACCTGCCTGTTGAGCCCCCACCACCTGTCCCCAAAGCGATGCTGAGGGGGTAGGTGGGGGTGGGAGATGCCCCCCAGGGTCCCACAGCTGGCAGAGGGGTGACAGGGAACCTCTTCCCTGCTGGGACCTGCATTTGACCCCCACCATTCCTCCCCACAGCATCCTACCCCCTTGTACTAGCACCCTGCTCTATCCCTCTCCCAAGCCAGGTCCCTGTGGGTTCCTCAGTGTCCTGACAGGTCCTCGGGGTCCCTCTGGGGGTCTTCGTGGTCTCACAACAGCCTCCCTCCATCCCCAGGTTACTATTACGACCTGGACGACTCCTGCGACGACAGCGACGAGGAGGAGGTGCGGGCCCACCTCCGCTGCGTGGCCGAGCAGCCCCCGCTGAAGCTGGACACGTCCTCCGAGGTGCTGCTGCCACTTGCTGTCCCCTCTGTCCCCCACGGGTCCCTGGGGAGCAGCTGCTTCTCGGTCATCAGTGCCCAGTGGTGCAGCCGCTGTCCTCAGCCAGCTGCAGAGGCACCAGGGGTCAGGATGGGCGTGGGAATGGGGATGAGAAAAATAGGGATGAGGATCGAGGATGGAAATAGAAATAGGTATGAGAAAAATGGGGGTGAGGGTGGGAATAAGAATAGGGATGGGAATAGGGATGAGTCTGGGGACGGGCATGAGGATGAGGGTGGGAATGGAGATGGTGATGGGGATAGGAATGGGGGTAAGCATAGATGGAGATGGGAATGGGAAAGGGGATGGGGATGAGAATGAAGATGGAAATGAGAATGGGAATGGGGATTAGGATAGAGATGACGATGGGGATGAGAATGAGAAATGGTGATGGGGATGGAGATGGGAATGGCGATGAGGATGAGAATGTGGATGAGGATAGGGATGGAGACAGGAATGGAGATGAGGACAGAGACGGGGATCAGTCTGGGGGGTGACCCTGCTCTGCTCTCCCCCTTGGTGCCCCAGAAGCTGGAGTTCCTGCAGCTCTTCGGCCTCACCACGCAGCAGCAGAAGGAGGAGTTGCTGAGCCAGAAGCGGCGCAAGCGGCGGCGGATGCTGCGGGAGAGGAGCCCCTCGCCGCCCACGGTGCAGAACAAGCGCCGCACGCCCTCCCCGCGCCTCCCGCTCTCCACCCGATACAGCCCCGACGAGATGAACAACAGCCCCAACTTCGAGGAGAAGAAACGCTTCCTCACCATCTTCAACCTCACCCACATCAGCGCTGAGAAGAGGAAAGGTACCAGCCATGGCCCGCGCAGGCTCAGGGGGTCCCCGCTCCCTTCTTGGGGGGGGGGTCCTGCCTGGGGCTGTGAGCTTGCTCTGCTGAGCAGAGGCTACACTAAACCTCAGTTTCCCATGCTGCAGACAAGGAGAAGCTGGTGGAGATGCTCCAGGCCATGAAGCAGAAGACCACACCGGCCGCCGTGGTGGTGAAGAGCTCCCCACGGGACAGCCCCAGTGGCCCCGCCACCGGTAAGAGCCCCTGCTCCTTCCCAGGCCCTGGGCTGCCTGGGAGCATCCCCTGCCCAGTGGGATGGGGGGCACGGCTTTGCTAAGGGGGAGATGGGAGCATCCCCTGCCCAGTGGGAACGTGGGGCACAGCTTTGCCTTATGGGGGACATGAAGTCCCCCCCAGACTGCAGCTGACTCTGCTTCTCTTACCGAAGAGCCACCAGTCCCGCCGCTCCTGCTGGATCCAGATAAACCCATGGGCATCGCTGTCTCCCTGCCGGAGGCACAGAAGACGACAGAGCCAGGCAGGTTAGACCAGCTGAGGCCCCAAGAGCTACCCAGGGCCAAGGAACTGGCAGAGAAACCCCCCCGGCTGAGTGACGGGCACCCTGGGAAGAAGGCGCTGAGCATCCTCGGCTACGTCAGGGGTCCCCTGCCCAAGGACATCCCGGTGCCGCTGTCCCACAGCATGAATGGCAAGAGCAAGCCCTGGGAGCCCTTCATTGCCGAGGAGTTTGCCCATCAGTTCCACGAGTCGGTGCTGCAGTCCACACAGAAGGCGTTGCAGAAGCACAAAGGTACCAGTGGGGATGCCAGGAGCTGGCTGGGGATGACCAGGGTGGCATCCCTGTGGGGTGAGAGAACTCCCCTATTGTCCTTCCTGCTGGGTTTTGCCACTGCTGAGGGCACAAAATCCCCCTGGAACCTCAGTGGAGCATTCTAGGGGCTGATGGGTTAAGATACAAAGAAGGCTTCATCCCCCCCCCAGCTCATTGGTTTCCAGGAAGAAGGAAAATACGACTCCCCTGTGCAGGAGTTGGGAGGGGTGATGAAAGATGCTCCATTCCCCTAAAAAAATCAGCCTGGGCGGGGGGGTGTGATGGAAATTAGCATTTTGAGGGGAGCAGCCTTCTCAATGCAGCCTCAGGGTGGGTGGCACCGGGAGAGGGGGACACGGGGGGACAGGGCAGGGACAGGGGTCTGATGTGGGTGCCTGCAGGGGGGACGGCGGCGCTGACGGCCGAGCAGAACCACAAGCTGGACACCTCCATCCACTACAACATCCCCGAGCTCCAGGCCTCCAGCCGCCTGGCTGCACCCCCCCACAACGGCACCGCCGAGGGGCCCCTGCCCCACCGGGCACTGCCCCCCCTGCCCCGGGACTCTGCCTCCGAGGAGGAGGACGAGGAGGAGGACGAAGAAGAGGAAGAGGAGGAGGAGTACCCCAGGCCCAAGTGGCAAGGGATCGAGGCAATTTTTGAAGCTTACCAGGAACATATAGAAGGTAGGGGATGGGGTGGGGGGGTAAGTCTTGGGGCAATGGCAGGGGTAGGGGGTGAGCCCTTGCTTCTGGTCTCAGTTTCCCCAAGTGAAGCCACCCCGTGTTTGGACCCGGGTGTCTCTGTCTCCCCTGGGATGGGGAGGTGCTCCAGCACTGCAGGAGCAGCACGATAGCAACAGGCACTGGTGAAAATTGATGGATATGTGAAAAAAAAAAGCATGTATTGATGGCTGCTCTGTGCCATCCCAGTGGGACCTGGAAGTTCCCTGCAGGCAGGGGGGCTGGGGATGCTGGAGGTGATGGCTGCTGGCGGGGCAGAGCCTGGCATACCCCATGGCAGCATCCACAGAGCCAGAGGAGCCATCCCTCATCCTCCTTTGGCTCTTGCAGAACAAAACCTGGAGCGCCAAGTGCTGCAGAGCCAGTGCCGGCGGCCGGAGGCCCCGCACTACAGCCTGAGCCTGACGGCAGAGCCGCTCTCGCACAGCATGGCGGTGAGTGGCGGGGGGCACCCGGGCTCCTGGGCACCTCGGGCACCCCTGGGCACCTTGGCCAGGCACCCCATCATCTCCTGGTTCCCTTTGTCAGGCACCCTGTGATCTCCTGGTCACCTCTTCCAGGCATCCCATGATCTCCTGGTCCCCTCTTTCAGACACCCCATGGTCTCCTGGTCCCCTTTGTCAGGCACCCCATGGTCTCCTGGTTCCCTCTTCCAGTCACCCCATGATCTCCTGGTTCCCTCTTCTAGGCACCCCATCATCTCCTTGTTCCCTTTGTCAGTCACCCCATGATCTCCTGGTCCCCTTTGCCAGGCACCCCATGATCTCCTGGTTCCTTCTTCCAGGCACCCCATGATCTCCTGGTCCCCTTTGCCAGGCACCCATGATCTCCTGGTCCCCTCTTTCAGGCACCCCATGATCTCCTGGTCCCCTTTGCCAGGCACCCATGATCTCCTGGTCCCCTCTTCCAGGCACCCCATGATCTCCTTGTTCCCTTTGTCAGGCACCCCATGATCTCCTGCAATCCCCCATCATCTCCCAGTTCCCCACCTCCCCCAACACCCCCCCTAGCCCACC